ACTCTACCCTGCAAAGAGACAGAAAGGAAACTTACTTAGCATCACTTGGGGGCACACTTTCCTTTCCAGAAGGGCACACGGGTGTCAGAACAGAAGGACTGAAGTGACGGATGATGTCTGCAAGAACTGAAGAGAGAGTTGGTTTAAGACCCTGGTCCCCACAGCTGGAGGTCGACTCTAAGTTTGACCCCCTCAAGGATGAGGTGGAAGGGCTGCTGCTCCTACCCCAAGGCATGGCCTTCACATCCTGCCTTGGGCTGTGAGGTCAGCTCCATAGCAGGCCCATGAGTGGTGCTCAGATACGGACATCAAGTGCTAGGCCAGACCCAGCTAAGCACTTTCCATGTGTCTTCTCCTTCTATCACTAGTAACAAACTATGACAATACTACCTCTGATTTAGTGAAGGGGAAACTGAGCCCAAGAGACACCAAGCAAGCTGCCTAGGCCTCACAGATAACTGAAGCTGATAGGATTTGAACCAGAGTTCTGGGATGCCAACACTTTTAACTGTCATGCGCTACTGCCTCGTTAGAAAGTTACTCTGGGACAGGGCCTTCCACCCTGCTCCCTCCTCCTGAGAGTGACAGCAGGGCGGGAAAGCTCTGGGGAACACATAGCGAACATGTCCCTGAGTTGACAGCCAGAGGACGGCTAAAAATAGCGCTGTCAGGAGCACTTAAGTTGTGTCTTGTTCCCGAGAGAGGAGAGGGCAGAGCGGGAGAGTGTCACGGGAGGGAGGTGCCTCCTCCACCTCCCAGTCTCCCTTTCCTTTTATCCCCATCCACAAGGGCCTCAGGGCTTTATGGGAACAGGTTCCAGAAGGCAGATTTAATGGGGTTTCCCAGAAAGGGAACTGACTGCAGGCAGCAGGCAGGGTAGCCACTGGGGGAGCTGGGCTGGAAGTCAGGAGCTGGCCAGTTGGCAGCCACCTAACTCATGGGTCACTTGGTTGTCCCCAAACTTAACCCAAACTAATGAGCATTATCTTCTTTTTCTTTTCTTCTTCTTATTATTTTTTAAAGTTTATGTATTTCTTCCATGAGAAAGAGACAAAAGACAGTACCCCCCCGCCAGCCCCAGATCAGGGCATGAATATGCCCAGTGTCCTCAGGGAGGTCTCTGGTCATGAACGAGGAATCCTTTCACATCGGCCAACCTTGCAAATCATTGTGTTTTACCCGTACACCACTGTCCAGCATCAGGCATGGTCCCGAACCTCCCACCAGCTTGCAGAAGGGGGCCATTTGTACGTGTGGTAAGAACACAGAACACTCTGAGGACAGTTTAAGATTACAGGGACAGAGTGTATGTGCGATTGTCAGGGGACACGCTCTCTGATGTAAGGATGGCCTGTCAGTACCAAAGACAAAAGATAAGTATCTAAAGAGAGGTCTACGAAAAAGAATCACTTTCCAAATTAAGGGTATTAGCATTGTAATGCTTCTTTGTGATCAAACATGACCTGAGCTCTTTTAAGACATATTGTTGCTGGGGCCAGCAGATAGTGTAATGGTTATGTTGCTGGACTCCCATGTAGTTGACCACGGTTCGAGTCCCGGACACAGTGGCTTAAACTCAGGCTGGACGCATCTGCATGCGTGTGCAGGATACAGAGAGGAGAATGGAGGAGAAGGGATTGCAGCATGGCCATCCTCCCTGGGGGTGATTTCTCGCTTTCTGTCTCTCTGTCTCTCTCTGTCTTTCTGGTGAGTACATGCGCCCTATAGCAAATACCTCTCCAAAAAAAAAAAAGGGAGAGATTTTTGCTATAGGGTGCATGCATTCACTGGAGACACAGAGAGAAACAGAGAGAGAGAGTGAGAAATTACCTCCTGGGGAATGGCCACATCACAATCCCTTATCCTCCACTCTCCCCTTAGGACCCAGGCACGCATGCACACGTGTCCAGCATGAGTTTCAAGTTGCCAGTCCAGGACTCAAACCACAGTCAGCCATGTGGGAGTCTACACCACCTGCTGGCCCTATACCTGTGCTCTTTTCACATAAATTGGCCAGTCATTTTCAGTGTGCCGTGTGCTTGGTCTGTCCTCACTGCCTCTCTCTGGGGTTCCTAGTGGCTGTGGGGCTAGACCATCTGGGTTCACAGAGACTCCTTCACTTGCTGACCATGGGATCTTGAGAAAGTCTGTTTACCGCCCCAATGCTCAATTTGCCCATCTGCAAAATAGCCTTGATGGGCAAGAACATGGCTAGATTTGGAGATCTCTGAGGTCCTGGAGCACTCTAAATTTCTAGGACTGAAAGACAGGTGGGCCGAGCCTGGGCCAGCCCCATCATATACTGCTCGGGATATCCGAACGTCCCTGGAATGCTCTCTCCTGGGAGGAGCAGTGGCTCCTTCTGTGGCCAAGAGCCACGTGCCCTGCCGTTGTACTCCACTGCCCCCTTCCTCCCCCATGAGGTATGCCTGAGTCACCAGCAGCTGCAGATAAGTCCTGGCTTTGGAAACCCACTTCCTGCCCACTTTTTATTGTACCTCTGGCCAGGTAGGACTCCTGGCCACTTTGTGTTTAAAGAGAGGCGGTCAAACTGTTTACAGGGTGGGTAAGGGGGGAAATTGAGACACACTGAGAAAGCAGACACAGCAGCAGCTGCATTTATGGTTGCAGGACCTGAATTACATCCCACCTTCCTGGGTAGCCCCCAAATAGACTCTTTCATTTCTTTTTTTCCTCCCATTTACAGGTAAGCAGGGTCAGGCTAAGGTGTGGCTATGATGGCCACACATCAGTCATGGGCTCCTCTTTTACAACCTTTTGACTCTTTCCAATGGGACTGCCATAATGCCTTGCCAACCTATGTCCTTTCAATTGTCAATCAATCCTGGCCACCAGGCTCAACCTTCCCCACTGCATCATGAATTCTAAAGGCAGGCCCAGTCTCCTGTTTACCCTGGCCTTTCTAGGGGGCCCAGTCACTGACAGGCTCTTCATGTGCATTCGCTGACTGAGTTGGCAAGGTGCTCACTACCCCGCTGGAGTTCCAGCTCCTCTGCACGCTCACACTGCGGTCTGGCCCACCTTCTCTAATTATGGAGTGAAGCATGGTTTCTGTTGTGCTTGATTTCTGAGCACCAAGCACAGGAGACTCTTCCGCCCCACTAGGCTAACTCAGCTGGCATTAAGGGACTCAGGGGTTTCAGGATGACTTAATAGACCTCTTCTAGTAAATGGGATTAAAAAGAAAACCAACCCACCAGTTATAGATAATATATTCATAAGCACATATGGATATAAAAAGGCCAAAATGTTAACAATAATTTTCTCTGAATCATGGAATTACAGTTGACTTTGACTTTCCTCCATTCACTTTTCTGAACCCAGCTGATGTATTTATTTTACAAGTGAAAGAGATATTCTAAAATGTAGACTGAAAACCAGACCTGGGTCCTTTCCCTGGTGGGCAGAGGCGCCATGGACATCTTCCCCACGTGAAGTGCCACAAGTCCAGCCCTGGGCTGCCCAGGGAGCAGGAGCCTCGGAACTCTGGCCCAACTCCCCAGCTCAGCTGGCCCCCAATCTCTCTCCTATGTCCCCTCATCTTAGCCCAGTACCCATTGGCTTCTTGGAGATGCTTGGATACGCTTCTCATACCCCTGTTTGGGTGTGTGATTGACTCCTTTCCCCGTCCTCTCAGAACGGCTGCCCCTGTTCTCCTGGGCTCTGGTGATAAAGTGGCCAAGAGAGTACATTCCCTTTATGAGCCAAAATGCTGCTGTGTCTGGAAGAATGGGGACGATCTGGCACTAAAGACCAGCGCTCACCTGTCATTACGCCCATGCACACCTGCTGTGGCCTTTTGTCAGTCCTGAAAGATGAAGCGCGCATGCAAGTGTCAGTCTGGATTTGCCACCTGCCCCACAGCCCTTCCCCCTTGGCTCCTGTGGTCTTATTTGATAACAGTCTTTGGCCCAGCTCTGCTTTGATTCTGGGACTGTCCCTCCTGGAGTCAGAGGCACATCACGAATGGCAGCAGCGGAGTCAAGTATGGCATACAGACACCTCTGGAGCCCCTTCTGTCTCCCTCAGCTTTCTGCTCCAGCCCCACACTGGAAGGAGATGCTGATCCCAGTGTGAAAAGGCCCCGGTCCAAACCCTGCATGGTTCCCTCAGAGCAAGAAGTCCTGCTGGAGAGAAGCAAGAATCCCACCTGTCAACCCTCCTTACTTCTCCACCCTCTTCACCCGAAGCAGCTGGGGGATTTGCAGGAGCCCTGGGAGAGTTGGACTAGGAGGCTGGATTCTGGTCCCCACTCTGCCAGCTCCTTGGGTCACCTTGAGCAAGGCCCCTAATCTCAGTTCGCCCCCATCCATAATGCAAAGAGATTAGATCAGAGCTGATATGAGGCTCCTTCCTGTTCTCACTCACGGTTTTTGCTCCTTCGGGTCAGCCATTCCTGAGTCTGGAGGCTGGGAAAGACATGAGGTGTTAACAAGCCAGCCAGGGGGCTGTTGGGTGGTGTGTGGTGAAGGCACTGGATTCCCACATAGCTGACCACGGTTCAGGTCTCGGACCTGGTAGCTTGCTTTCTCACTTTCCTTCTGTCACTCTCTCTGGTCAAATAAAAATAATAACAATTAATAAAATGAAATTAATAATTCTTTAACAACAAAATAAAAAATAGGCCAGGCAGGAATGGTGTGAGAGCCTCTTTTATCAGACCATCCTCGCTCGCTAAGAGGGAGCCTGTAGCTCTGGAGAAGGAGAAATCCACCTTTGCCCATTTTGCAGGGAGGGAAGGCTGTCTAGCACCCTCAGCTGCATGTCGGTCAGACCTTGGAGCACTAAAGGGGCCGAGGGTTTCCTCGGAACTTAGACTTTCATGTGTCATAGAGTCACGTTAGCATCCCGCATAGAAACAAGGCTGTCTCATTGTGACCCTCCGCCATCTAAAATTGAGTTGGCTTATCATCTGTCTTCCCTAATTAGAATGTAAGTGCCATGAGGAATGGAATTTTCACCTGTTTTCTACTTGACTGTGTCCCTTGGACCTAGACAAGGCCTGACCTAAGTACAAAATAAATATGTTGAATAAATCCTTTTTTTTTTTTTTGAGAGAGGTTTTTGCTATAGGGCGCGTGCACTCGCCAGACAGACAGAGAGAGACAGAGAGATAGAAAGCGAGAATTCACCCCCCAGGGGGGATGGCCACACTGCAATCCGCAACCCCTTCTCCTCCAGTCTCCTCTTGGGATCTTGGGCAGGCACGCACACGCGCCTGGTGTGAGTTTAAGCCACCGGGTCCAGGACTTGAACTGCAGTCGACTACATGGGAGTCCAGTAACATAGCCATTATGCTGGTCCTGAGTAAATCCTTTTTTTGAATGAACAGATACATTTCTGATTTCCTCCTTGATAAAAATGTTGGGGAACATGGGATACTTGTGGGAGAAGTTACCTAAGTATAGGAGCGGAGGTGAGACCTCCTGATCCTCACCTTGAGAATCACCGTCTTTGCGAGCGTCTAGAAATGCATAGAATCAGGCCCAGGACATAGAATGTGCTCAGCAAATACTAGCTATTGTCAGTAGTAGTATTTTCAGTTTCTGATACAAGCTCTCTCTCTAAGTTCCCAGGAAGACAGCATTCCTGGATGTGTAGTGGCAGGTGGATGGCTCTCCCCGCAGGGCTTACCCTCCGCTTGCTGCAGCTTCACTTTGAAATGCCCATCTCTCCTCACCAACCAGCTCAAATGGCAACCAGTTATAAAACCACCTCGCATCCCTGGATCCCTCCAGGCAGGGTAGGCCAACGGAACAGAGTCTGTGGCCCCTCAATAAGAAAGACTTTTGGGGTCAACAGGTGGCATGGTGGTTGGGGCATTGGACCCATGGCTGACTGTGGTTCAAGTCCCAGACCTGGTGGCTTGCTTTCTTGCTTTCCCTCTCTGTCTATCTCTGGTGAGTACATGTGCCCTATAGCAAATTTTAAAATAATCATAATCATAATTCTTTTTTTTTTTTTTAAAGAAAGGCTTCGAAAGGTAAGTCTTTCAAAGGAAGAGGTGACAAGTTTAAAAATGACACTAAAATACAAACCCAGGATTCTAGACAAGATGGCAGCAGGTCAGGTAATGAGAGGTGTGGCCCTCCCAGGCTGAGGCAAACTGGCAGCCTGAGTCCAACTAAAGGGGGTGCTGTCCATCAGCACGAGCCGATGGCTACCAGAGAGCATGGGAGCCCGCAGCTCTGACCTCGTCTTTCCAGGGAAGCTGGAAATGCAAACATTGACTTGAACCTTCCTGATTTCAGCATTGACTCAATCACAGGTAAGTGGTGATTTGCTTACTTACAAACCAATGTGCTTTTCCTGATATTTAATTGACTACTAGGTCTTTTCCCTATAGTAAGCTTGATGGAGGGATTGGAAGGAAGAGGACAAGAGGAACAAGGCCAGGATTGGGGGTACAGGGAAGACTTCCGAGGGACACAGTAGGAAGGGGAGACGGTACACACAGCAAGCTCCTGCTTCTTCATTTTGTCTGCCTGTTAGACATTTTCTTGCCACGTTCCTCATTTTCTCTGCCTTGTGGTAAGTACTACAATGCCAGGGATGCAGTTAACTAAGACCCAGACTCTACCCTCAAGGAATTTGACATACTAGATTATAACCTCCATGGAAAAATGTCTGTGATGCTTCAGTGAAAAACCAATTCACATAGGGAACCAGCAGTTAGCGTAATGGCTATGTCGCTGGACTCCCACGTAGTCGACCGCAGTTCGCGTCCTGGACCCGGTGGCTTAAAATTCACGCCGGGTGTGTGTGCGTGTGTGCGTGCTTGCCCAAGATCCTGAGAGGAGAATGGAGGAGAAGGGATTGTGGCATGACCATCCCCTCTGGGGGGTGATTTCTCGCTTTCTGTCTCTCTGTCTCTCTCTGTCTGGCGAGCACACGCGCCCTATAGGCGGGGAGCACCCCCGCCCCTAAAAAAAAACCCAAAAAAAAAAAAAAAAAAAAAAAAACCAATTCACACACAGGTGCCATGGTGCACACCCATAGTCCCAGCTGCTTGGGAGATTGAGGTAGGGGGAGTGCAAGTTACAGAGTGACACCCTGTCCCGAGTGTGGGGGGGACCTAATTCACAGACGGGATGCTGCAATATGGCCATCTTTGAGTTTTATATATCCTTTATATCCCAATGTATTCCTATGCACTGGGGGAAGAGAAGGGGGAGGGAACATTTTTTTTTTATTGTTTTGTGTTTTAAGAGAGAGAGATGAGAGAGGAATTAGAGATGCGATTTTTAACCTTGTATATATCTATTTTGATTTTTTCTTCTATGAAACATGTATCACAAATGATATTTGAAAGTAACTTTTATGAACATTGACATACCTGATTTTTAAAGTTTTATGAGGAAAAGGGGTCTGTGGCAATTAAACAAATGTTGGTTACAGTCCCATATAAGGGATTGCGCTTTGGTTACGGAAAGTTTGAGAGACTCAAAGCGCACCCGTCAGCATTATGGACTTTTTCTTTTTCACTGCCTTCCATTGTTTTCCATGGCTCTTTGTTTTGTTCTGTTTTTAAGTCCAGCTAAGTTCACCACGGCCAGCCCTCAGGGCAGACAGAGGAAGAAGGGCTGCATGGAACTGTGCTTTCGGGTTTTCTCCTGAGGGCTGAGGCCCACCAGTGTCCTGATCATGATTCTGAGTGGGGAGGCCACCTGGGACTGAGCTATATGCTGTTGGCTCTGGGCCTCGGGCTCTCCCCAGGAAAACGGGGAGCTGAGTGACAGCAGGAGCTGTCAGGCCTGGATAATTACCAAGGGGAGGATGGGAGCCACTGTGAGGTTTAACTTTAGAAACCCGACTTTGGGTGGTGATTTCTTTGCCTGAGGTAGAAGAACCCCAGAGTCCTCCAATGAGCAGGTCACAGATCCCAGGCTCCGGAAGGTCCATATCAGTATGCATAGACACACAGGCTCAGCAAAGCCAGTCTGCTCTCGGGGACGTGAAACCTCTTTGCTCATTTATTTCTGTCTCCTTTTCTACATTTTTCCTGTGGTAACCTCCACCCTCACGGCCATCAACACACATGGTCAGCCATGCATGTGATTTTAAAAAGCCTCAGCGCACACGGAATAGGAGGAGGAGGGGGATTCCGGCCTGCTGGACTTCTGGGCCTGCACTCTACCTTCACACACCAGCACTCCTCACCATCTTCTGTTTATGTCCCCCATTCATGCTGGTCACTAGTGCCATCAATGGCCGGACAAGGTTCCCAGTCTGGGCAGCTTCACCTGGTGTTCGAGCAGAAATGAGGTTCATAAACACGGGGGAGCCAACGCTCCCTGGGCAGAAGGTCCCAGACAAGTTCCAGAGAAGGAGAGGTTAGTTTTTGAAGAAAAGGAAAAGGGAGGAAAACAAGCCCAGGGTCTCTGTGGGCATTGGATCAGTGGTAAGCCCCTGCAGTAGTGGGTGGGGGCTTGCAGAGAGTAACAGGCCTGGCCTGGGGAAGTGACAGAGCTCCAGAGAGTGCAGGTTGCCTAAGGACAGGAGGAGGGTGCTCAGAAGGAACCATGGGAGGAGGAGTGGAGCAAAGACACTGGGGAGGGAGGAAAACACGCTGGTTCAGGTTGGGGAGGCACCGCAGGGCTCTGAGGCAGAATGGAGGCCTGACATGTAAGTGTCCTGCTCAGCTGGGGCTGCTGGGACTTGAGGGGTGGCAAAAGCTGGGGACTTGGCTGAGGCCAGGGCAGGTGGGAGTACAGAAGCAAGGACTAAGGGGAAGGGCTGACGTTCTCCCTGCTCCTGAGTTCTTTCTTCTCCAGGTGCTTCTTCCCCTACTTCCCTCTCTCTCTTCTCTCTTCTTTTCACCCTTTTCCTTATTGCTTTCTTTTTCCCTTACCTGGCCACAGATTTAATGAATTAATTAATTTAGAGGTTTTGCTATAGGGCATGTGTGCTTGCCAGAAAAACAGAGAGACAGAGACAGAAAGCAAGAAATCACCCCCCCCCGGGGGGGGGGATGGCCACACCGCAATTCCTTCTTCTCCATTCTCCTCTTTGGATCTTGGGCCCGGCATGAGTTTAAGTTACCGGGTCTGAGACTCGAACTGCAGTTGATTACGTGGGAGTCCAATGACATAGCCATTACGCCAACTGCTGGTCCCAGCCACAGAATTTATTAACAGGCACATGAAGAGATGCTCCACATGACTAATCATTAGGGAAATGCAAATCAAAATCACAGTGATATATCGTCTCATACCCATTGGGCTGGCTACTGTTAAAGAAAGAAAGAAAAAAAAAAAAAGGATAAGCATTGATGAGGTGGTGGAGATCCTGGAACCCTTACGCACAGTTGGTGGGAAAGTAAAATAGTATAGCCACTCTGGAAAATAGTATGGAGGTCTCTCAAAAAAGAAAATAAAATGATCATATGCTCCAGCAGCTCAATTTCTAGGTATACATTCAGAACAATTTACTATCTCGAGGCAATATTTGTACCCCCATGCTCATAGCAGCATTGCTTACAAAAGCCAAAAGTTGGGAACAACCCAAGTGTCCACCAACAGATGAGTGGAGAAACCAAATGCGTCATATCCATGCAAGGGAATATGATTCATTCTTCAAAAGGAGTGAAATTCTGACACATGCTACAATGTGGATGAACCTTGAGGATATTAGGCTGAGTGAAAGAAGCTAGTCCCATGAAAAGACAAGTACTGCACAATTTCACTTATGTGAGATACCAAGAATAGTCCAACCCACAGAAATAGAGAGTAGAATGAGGAGCTAATTAATGGGAGTTAATGAACTGTATTATAAAGTTTCCGTTTGCAAGATGGAAAGTTCTGGAGATGAACTGCACAGCAATGTGAACAGACTTAGCACTATTAAACTGTGCATTTAAAAATGGTTAAGGTGGCAAATTTTAGGACCAGTAGATGGCACAGTGGTTATGGTGCTAGATTCCCACATGGCTGACTGTGGTTCAAATCCTGTACCCAGTGGCTTGAAAATCATGTTGGGCATGTGTGCATGCATACTCAAGATCCCAGGAGAATGGAAGAGAAGGGATTATGACCATTCCCCTTTGGGGGGGTGATTTCTCACTTTCCCCCTCACTGTCTCTCTCTCTCTCTCTCTCCAGTGAGCATATGTGCCCCATGGCAAAAGCCTATTTAAAATAGGTTTAAATTTAAATTAAAAAAATTTTTATGTGGTATATATTTACCAAAATTAAAAGCAAAGCAACTTTTTAGATTTAACAACAAGGATTCTTTTTTTTTCTTTTAATTTACAAAGCAGGTAAGAAAAGTTCTTTATCAGAAAGTTTTAAAACTACTTTAAAAAATTTGTGATCTTTATCAATGGATTTAATATACTGATAAGAAATGCCCAAAAGATCCCTCACCTTGATGTAAATATAGACATTCGTTTGATTTAAGGGGGAAAAAAAAGACTCAGAACTTCCTAGATTTTAGAATTTCTTCAACTCATATAATACTGGTGGCTTGAAAAATCACGCTGGGCACATGTGCATGTGTGCCCAAAGTCCCAAGAGGAGAATAGGAGAGGGGGTTGTCGTATGGCTGCCTTCTCTGGGGGTGATTTCTTGCATTCCTTCTCACTGTCTTTATCTGGTGAATGTATACATCCTATGGCAAAAACAAATAAACAAACAAACCCTAAAACTAAAAAAAGAAAATAAATAAAGCTCTCTCTCAAAATAAGACATCCTGTCTTACCACCAGGAGCTTATTCGAAGGATCACTAGGCCCAAACTGTCCCTCACCCCAAGCTACTTTAAAATACTCACTGTTTCCAGATTGATGATGGCTGCCACAAATTTAATATCAGAAGGCCTCAGAGAGTGAGCTGTGGAGACAAGAACCCACGCAGACAGGTCAGGTCAATGTTCTCCACAATGCAGGCCAAGGTCACCACTGGGAGGGGGCAGACCCACACCCCTCAGCCCATACTCGGCTGCTGAGGTCAAGCCTGTGGGCCGGAAGTGGAAAACTGATGCCCAGGGCAGTCCCTGGGAACCCAGGGATCCTTGAAAGAGGCTCAATCCCCTCTGCAGGCCACACGGTTAACTGGACTCGGGCTGTCCTAACAGGAGTCTCATGGGAGGTCACTTGTGGCCTTCATTTCCCCTCTTACTGGGCCCTCTTACTGCCTGTCACTTCTCTCTATCCTTGGCTCTGCATTCTGGGCCACCATTAATAAGTAAGAGGGCCACAAATTAAAAATACAAACAAAATGATCACTTCAGCTTAAAGATTTTCAGAGACTCGCACTCTTAAGCCTGTGAACACACTTGGGCCAACTGCACCAGCCCAGCGCTAGTCTAATGCTCTGCAATGCTGGAGGCCATATGGAAGATTGGGGTGCAGTTCCCGGGTTGACGTGTGTGCTCTGGGTGCACACATGTGTGCCTGTGGTCCTGGCTGGCTGAGAAGGGCTGGGGGGAGTATCATGGCATGAGACTCTGTTGAAGATACTTGTCTTTTTCTTTCTCTCTTTCTGTCTCTCTCTTATTAAAGAAATAAACTTTTAAAAAGCCTATGAACACACATAAACATTAGATCCAAGTTGTATGGAAATGATACACATGGAAATCTCCTTAACCCACTTGGATCATGCCAGCATTTTTAGAGATTGAGTTTCCCTAGAAACCATTTACCATACTCCGTGGTTGTGTGATGGGGCACTTCAATATATTCCTCCTAAAAAAGCCATTTCCTAAAAAGTACATCAATTTATTTTTCTACCTAAGGCCCTTCTGTAACAGAATAGTAAAAATAGCATGCTTACCCGGAAACCCTAATCAAGTCAGTACAAAGAGAACGAAAACTCATTAAGCACAGTGTATAACATAGCCACTCAGTGTGATGAAGCCAGGAAACAAGCCCAGCGGGAGAGCAGCATCCGGACACAATGGAAAGCGTCCAGAGCAGCCATTGTGGCTTCACTACGGGAAGTGAATGTAGGCGGAAGCCACATAAGGAACCAATGTCCAACCTACAGCTCCTATGACCCTGTCCACCCACAGGGAGGTGAGATCTCAGACGTTGCCCTTGCCCAAGTAAGCCACTGCAGGGCCATGTTGATTTTATCCCTGAATGGTGTGTTGAACTAAGGTCCTCCACAGAAATGACCCAGGAGAAAAATGGGGTGTTGTCTAGGACTAAGGTTGAGGAAGAGGGAGACTTTAATGACTAAAAGGGATGAGAGGAAGGATAGGGTCAGCACGTGGCAGGCCTCATCAGAGAGACACTGGGCCTTTCCTGTGATGACCAGCGGTCACATACCTGATTTAGACGGTCTTTTCAGTCCTGATTTCTTTGTGTTGCATAGGAATGAAAAATTCTTCAAAGTCTGCAACTAAAACCAAACGTTAGCAACATTGACTGCTTTATCTAGAAAAACTTCAGGTCCTGAAACGTTGATATAGAAATGATCGTGTACTTGTTCTATTTAGGCTCGAAATCCAGAGGTGACTACTGTCCGTAGTGATGTTCTCCTAACTCCATACTCAGTTCACTTAGTGCAAAGGGACATTTCTCTATTAGCAATGATCTTTTTTTTAGAATTATTTGTTTAATTTTATTTAATCATTCATTTATTTTTAATTTGACAGTGAGAGACACAGAGAGAGAAAGTGAGAAAGAGGGGAAATGAGAAAGCAAGCCACCAGGTCCAGGAATCGTACTCAGTTCACTTAGTGCAAAGGGACATTTCTCTATTAGCAATGATCTTTTTTTTAGAATTATTTGTTTAATTTTATTTAATCATTCATTTATTTTTAATTTGACAGTGAGAGACACAGAGAGAGAAAGTGAGAAAGCAAACCACCAGATCCAGGACTCGAACCATGGTCTGCCATGTGGGAATGTCCAGCGCCTTAACCACCACGCCACCTGCTGGTCCCTCTATTAGCAGTGATTTTAACAGATGGCATGTTAGGATATGTGAAGAAATGGGAGTGGAGATGGAGGGAAGATGATGAAGGAAAATGAAAGTCAATTTTTGGGATGATGGCAAAGTTCTGGAGATGAATGGGGGTGACCAGTTGTACAACCATGTGAAGGTCCTTAAACCACTGAGTCGAACACTCAAGCATAGTTAAAGTGGCAACTTTTAGGTTATATATACTTTACCAAAATAAAAAAGTCATTAAGAGACTAGTAAGCTTAGACCAAAAAAATAAGCCGCCAATTCCATACTATTATATGTATTTATATTATCTACATTCCTTCTTTTAATTCGATTATTTACACAAAAGCTGTTTATTTGCTGCTGAAAAGTGGGTAAACTTGAAACTGGGGGACTCCTGCATTCCCACCAGATCAGAGCCGTCCTGAGCCCAGGGGAGGTGCTGAGAGCAGAGGAGGGACTCGGAGTTCAGCGCTCCGGTCCTCAAGACCACTTGGGTTTCCTCAGATGCCGGGACTAAGTCCAAAGCAGCTTCTGCTTCTGTGGATAACACAGAAGGCTTTGGGAGAAGAGATTCTATCTTCCCCAACATTGAAGGTGGGAGGGGAAATCCTCTACCAGGGAAAAAGGTGCAGTCAGTAAGGTACATGACCCCTGCTACCACCAAGTGAAATTCTCCAAACTCCGATAAAATTCTCTGGAATTACTGTTTACGGTAAGAGATCTGGCATTTACTCTCAACTCTTATCTTGTGAATGTTCTGGGAAGACCTCGCCCAGATGCCTTCAGATAACTCACAACATCTGCTTCAAGGTTGCAGGGATAACAAGGCCATTTATAACCCTTTCTGGACACTTCTGGGAACTGTCCACTCAGTCTGCAGGGATGATGAGGCCCAGATTCCAGGAGACGAGCCTGTGCTCTGCCAGAGGCAGCTCATCTGTCCCTGAGGTCCAGCTCATCTAGTCCATTTCCTCAAAGCCTCCGGGAATGGTCTGCCAACTTGGATCCAGACTTGGTTCCCCCACTAGAAGAAGAATCCTCCCTTTCTCCTCCACACATACTCCCACCAGGAGGCGGGCATATTACCTCTGGCCATAGCTGTTCTTTCAGTACGCTCTTTCCAGAAGAGGTATAGATCTGGGTGGTCCCTAAAAGAAACCAAAATAGTTCAGTTTACTTAAGTGGGATTAACTCCTACTCCAATCTGTAGGCTCTATGGCCTTCTACCCTATCTAGGTGCCCAGCTCAGTAATGTCCCTTGTGTGAAGAAGGCACAGATTCCATTCCTCTAACTGTTGCCTCTGTTGTTTGGGATGCTGTGATTGCATTAATGCAAACTACTAAGGAAGAATCCTTAAGTTAAAAAGCAAAAACATGTTATCTAGGAGGGGTCAACAATAACTCATTATCACAGATTGTTTTCAGATTGCTTTTTTGGGGACCAGCAGATGGCAAAATGATTATGTTGTTGGACTCCCACTTAGTCAACCACAGTTTTAGTCCCAGACCCAGCTGCTTAAAACTGATGAGCACGTGTGCATGCATGTCCAAACTCCTGAACAGAGAATGGAGGAGAAGGGATTGCGGCATGTCCATCCCTTGGAGGGTGATTTCTCACTTTCTGTCTGTCTCTCTGGTGAGCACACATGCTCTATAGCAAAAAAAAAAAGAGACTGCTTTGCTTTGCTTGAGGGAAGCTCTGTGGTTTGGTGGTTAGGGCAGTTGGACTTGAACTCCATAGTTATGGTTCAAGTCCCCCACCTGGGGACTTGATAAATATGGTGTGCTTGCATGTGTGCTCAAAATCCCAAGACGAGGGAGAAATGAAGAAGCGATTGCAGCATAACCACTCTCCATGGGGTGCTCTCTCCTCTCTGTCTCTCTCTGGAAGTACACATGCCCTCTAGCAAAACAAAACAAAACAAAACAAAACAAAACGGAAATATTGCTTTACTTACTGCTTAGTAAAGACAGGCCCTCAAGGAAGGCAATGTTGGGGAATGTTTTTGTTGTTTAGGGGATTCAGGACAAAGCAGGGAACACTAAGAACATTCCAGAAGAGTCTGAAGGGGGATGTGATCTTAGGAGAAGCTAATCATGGGAGTCTCAGCAGCCATGACTACACCAAGGCTGAATGTGAAGCAAAGGGAAAAGAAAAAGTTGGGAGGGAAGCTTCAAAGATTCTGTCTCCCAGCTTACTTTGTACCAGTCTCTTAAAATATTCAGATTTTTTGGTCCTATTTTGTCATAGCCAGAAAGAGACAGAAAGGGAAAGTAAGAAGGGACATCCCTCCTATCCCCAAAGGGGGATGGCCACACTGCAATTTCTTCTCCATTCTCGTATTGGGATTTGGGGAACACATGCACATGTGTCCGGTGTGGTTTTCAAACTCCAGGTCCAGGACTCAAACTGCACAGCTGACCATGTAGGATCCAGCCCTTAACCCCCACACCACTGACCATCTTTTTTTTTTTTTTTTTTGGAGAGATTTTCGCTATAGGGCGCATGCACTCGCCAGACAGACAGAGACATAGAGATAGAAAGCGAGAAATCACCCCCCGGGGGGATGGTCACGCTGCAATCCCTTCTCCTCCATTCTCCTCCTGGGATCCTGGGCATACACGCACACGCGCCCGGTGTGAGTTTTAAGCCACCGGATCCGGGACGCGAACCGCGGTCGACTACGCAGGAGTCCAGAGACATAGCCATTACGCTAACTGCTGGTTACCATCACTGACCATCTTTTAAGAGATGACTTTAGGGTATTTTGTAAGATGATCATCACTCTGGGAATACAGGGGTAGACGAGTTAGCAGAGCAGAGATTTGAGACTATTTTGGTACTGTTCTATGCAGGATAAAAATGTAAATGGTAAGCAACCCTTACCCGCAGCTTCTATACACTGTTTTAAGCACTTACATGAAATAATTAATTTAAACCTCACAACTCTATGTGATAAACACCATCTCCCTACTGTACAAACTGGAAACTAAGGCCCAGAGGTTAAGTGGTATTTTAAAAGTGACACACCTAGCGGATGGTTATGAAGGTGCCATGGTGGAATGGTATCTCTGGTGATGGCAGGATCTGAACATGGGCAGCCTGGCTCATCTGACTGTGCTCATAGTCAACAGCTGAGAGTAGGCCATGTGCCCAAGACTGAGAGCAGGGACTGCAAACTTTCTCTGCAAATGACCAGGTAGTCAGTATCTTAGGTTTTGCAGATCATGTGGTCTTTGTTGCAACTACCCAATTTTGCTCTTATGATGCAAAAGCAGCCATGCAAAGTATGGAAACAAACCGACTTAATTTATAAAGACTGAAATTGGAATTGCACATACTTTTTTTTTCAGAGATTTTTCCTGTAGGGCACGTGCTTTCGCCAGAGAGACAGAGACAGAGAGACAGAAAGTGAGAAATCATCCCCCAGAAGGGATGGCCATGCCACAATCTCTTTTCCTCCATTCTCCTTTCGGGACTATGGGCACACATACATACGCGTCCAGAGTGCATTTTAAGCTACCTGGTCTGGGACTCAAACTACCATCAACTACATGGGAGTCCAGCAACGTAACCATTATGCCATCTGCTGGTCCCAAATTCCACATCATTTTTATATGTCATGAAATACTCTTTTTGTTTTTTTTTCCAACCATGTTAAAACATTTGTGGATATCAACAAACTGGCTCTACATTTACATATATAGCAAATGATCCAGATGATCTAATACAACATAAGAGGAAAGAACAAAGTGGAGGGCAATACTACCCGACTTAAAAAATTACTGTAAAGCTCCAGTAATGAAGACAACATGGTAGTGGCAAAGGAATGGACCAATAGACCAATGGAACAGGAAAATACAGTTTCTCTCCACATATGGAGCTGGAACAACTGGATATCCACATACAAAAAAGGAATGAATATAGAAACAAGAAAACATTCTCAGCTCACGAGTCATATTAAAAAATCAGGCAACAAGTTGAATTTGCCCATTGATCATAGCTGGCCAACCAATTCCTGATCTAGAACGGCCCTGAAAAGAGGTTATCAAGGTGAAATGGTAGGGTGGCCTCTCTGGCGATTGGCAGCAGCCCTCAGTCTCAGGGACCCCAGAGAGAAACCCAGGTTCCCCTTCTAGGGTAAGATACTGGGTGCTGCTGCCATGATTCCTTTCTGGGCTCTGCCTTTGCAGGTAGAAGAAATACCTGTTAGATGCCAAATCTCCCCTGACCTTTGAGAAATGTCCTATTCAGCATACATTTTAGTTTTCCAGGCATCAATCACGGGAGAATAAAAAAAAAAAAAAGTTTCTCAAAACTTTTGGACCCTTTCTTCATGTAATAGTGTTATTAAAAAGTTTTTTTTAATGACAAGTAATATATTAAGTATTCTATATAGTTTTCAAAATGGATAATAGTGTTATTAAAAAGTTTTTTAATGACAAGTAACATATTAAGTATTCTATATAGTTTTCAAAATGGGATAAAAACAAGATCTAACTTGAGACCAGCAGATAGCATAACGGTTACATCACTGGACTCCCACATAGTCAACCATGGTTCAAGTCCCAGATCTGGCAGCTTAGAACTCATGCCAGGTGAGTGTGTGTGCTTACCCAAAATCCCAAGTGGAGAATGGAGGAGAAGGAATTGCAGCATGGCCATCCCCCCTGGGGAGTGATTTCTTGCTTCCTATCTCTCTGTCTCTCCAACAAGCACACATGCCCTATAGCAAAAATCTCTCTTAAAAAAAAAAAAAAAAAAAGATCTAACCTGGTACCTATACAAAGCGTATGCTGAAATATGTTCATTATTGGTACCTATACAAAGCGTATGTTGAAATATGTTCATTATAATGAAAGGTGCACCTGTTTTAGTATCAAAACAATCCAGGAAAGTAGTTGTCATTATAATGCAATTTTATAGCAGCAAAAGTTAAAATTTTTGTTTAGAGAGTTGAGTCCAAATTAAGAACTCTTATCGACTCACTCCAGATTTAAAAGGATTTAATGAGGCTCAAATGACAATGTTTTTGAAGACAAGGAGATCTCCACATCTTTTCCTGACACTTTTATGGAATGTTCTGGGCCTTGTTTTTGTTTTATTTTGTTTTGTTTTGCAGAAATCTCATTATGCATGTCCACATTCTTTGTGTGTACACATCTGTTGAGAATCATAAAGACAGCAAGAACTTAAGGAATCAAAACCCTAGAGAAAGCAAGTGTCAAGAGTGAGACCAGCACTTGATATTGGTTTTATCTTTGAAATATTTGTCAAATCATGGGCAAAATCAATCAGCAGCTCAGCAGCTGAGATACTGTGCAGTTTTAGGCAGCTTCATGGAACATTGGAGTTCAGCAACCAGCAAGGAGGAGAGATGGCGGTACCATCCCATGCTTTCAGTTAGGACTTAAAAGAGCTAGATCCTAGGAGTAGGGATAAAATAGAAATAGACCAAATTGAAAAGGACTGAAGCCCAGACTAAACTTAGTTTTATTCCTAATAATTTGATCAATGTTATCTGCTCCTACCTAACTGCCTGCCAAAAGCAAAAGAAGAGCTTGTACAGAGACAAACGCTGCCATCCAGAGCAAAAATTATCTTGCTAATTTCTCATATACAATGCTTGGCTTGCAATAAAAATTACCAGGAGACAACACTAAATAAATCAAATCAAACCAGCAAACAAAACACGGCAGACAACAGATCAACAAAACGTGGAGGACTGATACAGGAATAAGTGGGGGAAATCTACAGCTTTGCTAGCCCAGTGTTTTGTTCTCTGGATTAAGAAGGTGGCCAATCAGAACTTTAACAGGGTAGCCCAGGAAATGAGAAGAAATGAGATAATGCTCTTCTCACATCCCTGAAGGACTGAAAATTTATGTATACACTGGGAAGAGCTGAAAAAGCCCTGTGTAAAACTGAAGTCAAGAGAGACTTGAGGACTGGCTACAACTTCATTTCCCAACCTATACACAGATCAAGCAACAGACCATTAAAGGATCAAGATGCTTGAGCACAACCTCTGCCCAATCACTGGCCACTAAATTGAGTAGACTGAGACTCTTAAGATACCAGGCTAACAAAATAAAAATGAAAAAAATGAATAAAAAACTGAACAAAGACATCATTGGCTACACACCT